CGAGATATAAAACCTTTGTGCAGAGGCGACGGCGACGCCGTACACTAGCTTGAAGAAGCCATGCATCGGCATTGACCATTTATATGCCTACCGAAAACGATAGCGCACAGTTATACACCCTCGTCAACGATATGACGGGGGAGGAAGACGGCGACGTCACTTTTCAGGCTATTCCTGCGGTATATGCTCTGTTTGAGCTAGACGAGATGTCTTCGGTGGTGCCTTGAAGGCAGGGGACATAGCCAATGTGGTCATCATACGACCGGAAGAGGAGATCGACTCGTCGTTGCTTCTGGATGAAGCTGTCCTGGAGGATACCCAGAGGGTGCTGAGCACACGAACTGAATCTTCAATTTTGAAGAATCCCTCGGGTCCGTAATACCCTTTGGCCTAGGAATTTCTAGACGTAGTCTCCAACGACCCGCCGTCGGTCTTACCTCCGGACCGAGGTGTGTGTCATGAGATCTACCTAGTCTCGAAAGCTAAGTATTGTGTAACACCCTGCTCAAGGAGCAGTGCGACGTCATTGACGCCTCGTTCCGTGCGAAGCGCAAGCAGGAATGGTGCGTGAGAGCAAGTCGCTTCATTTGAAGCCGAACTGCAAGCGGCGTATCATTCACTCTTACAATAAGTTCATCGCTACCACCATTTTAGCACAGGAGCCGATCATAGGAAGGATGTTCTCCAGAACAACAAGGTTAGTTGCACAAGGTACAGTGCACTCGACTTGGTCGACGGGTAATACCAATAGCTCATTAAAACGAGTGACATTCCGTTAACAGCGATAGGTACTCCGAGCGGCATGCTCTGGAAGTGGCTGGTGATGCCCCAAGGGCTGTCCAAGGCACCAGCAGCATCTGACCATCTTGTGACGAAGTTGTTCAGGCCTCACCGGGCGTATGTAGCGACATACTTCGACGACATCTTTATCCACAGTCATGCGGAGCACGGGAAGACGGATGAAGCAAACCACATCGTCCGTTTAAAAGCGGTGTTTGAGTGCATGCGCACCAAAAAGGCTGTATGATCATGCAGACAAGGACATCTTCGGCGCTAAAGACATCCCCTTTTTAGGTGCTTCATCGAGAAGCGTGGCTTTCAAGCAGATCCCGCTAAGGTCAACGACACTGTGAACTGGCCGGTTCAAAAGAACCAAAAGGACTCGCGCAAGTGGCTTGGTCTCGCCGACTTCTTGCACAAGTACAGCGAAATGCAACTGGTTTTGAGCACGGAGTACAACGATCTTCATCTTCAACGGCGCCACGTGCTCCACTTTCGCCTGAAGCGACGCATTTCATCAACTCAACGGCGAGGAGCGCCTCGACAGAGCGCAATAGTACTCAACGTGAGGCAGCCAGGGCACAACGTGCTCCAAGCTCTCGAGATCTTCCGCGCAGCCGTATGCGACTCTAGCATGACGCTAAGAGGAGTCACGATGGACCTTGTCCTCAAGAGATCAAAGCA